CCTTATTAGGACTTTAAGGGAAAAAGTCATATAACAAGAGGGTAGTGGACCAGTGAGACTTCAAGGGCAAACGCCACAGAAGAATATTGTAGTGATTCAACTTATGATGTCTGTGGATTGTTGGATATTGAGTGACAAACATTTGAGTTGGTTAATGCCACATATAGTGAGGATGAAAGTGTTAATAGAGAATGTTATGGTAGGTTTGCAACGTTTACAATGCCAAAAAGTATTGATGACTAAAAGTGGAAAGTAAGAACTTATTTCACTAAGAAGAAGAAATTACAAAAAGCCATTGGGACTTATGCATTAACAATTTGTTAAGAATGATAGAAATAGTTTTATTTAAATTTTGGGTGTAGAGGGAAAATGTAAGTGGTATGCTTATTGCACATATATGTACTATGAAGTCTTGACAATGATAACAGTTGATTTTATCGTTATCTGTGATGCAATTTTAATACTAAATCAAATCTCTTTGACTATGAAGCTTGCTTAAACTCTTGTTTTTAGTTGAGTTTTGTGAATAAGTTAGTCAAGGTTATACTTAATGATTTTTAACACTAATTCCCTCAATTTTGTAAGTTATTGGTATATTTTGGAAGATGAGCAAAGTATCAAGGAGTTGGAACCCAGGAAGGACAGCAGAAGCACCAGAATAGAAGGCTGCAGAAGGCTTAAGGACACCTAGTTGCCCTTTTCTGGGGCCTTGAGCGCTGGTTGCCACACAATCACGCCTGGTTGCCCTCTTCAAGGGCCCTCAGGGCTAGTGGTCGCGCAAGGACTCCTTTTTGCGCTCTTCTGGGGCGCTCAGCGGTGAAGGTCACGCAACCACGCCTGGTTGCCCTTCTATAGGGCATTGAGCGCCAGTTACACCGCAACACACCTGGTTGCCCACTCAAGGGGCACTAAGTGTCACTCTTCGCGCAGTCTCCCCTGGTTGCCCCCAGTTGGGGCGCTGAGTTTCCTATGTGGCACTTTTGATCTATTTAAAGGCTTTTACGTACTAGAGTTCATATCTTTGGACGACTGAAGCATAGAAACACTATTTTTTGACCCTTTGGAGGAAGATTGGGCATGTGAGAGCTTTCCTTTTCTCTTTGTAGGGTTTCCATCTCGTTTACATTCTTCCATTGTAAGCCAAGGTTCTCCATGACAATGGAGAACTAAATTCATTTGTTGTTGGGGAAAGATGTAACCTCTGAACTTCATGTAGTTGAACATGTTCTGAATATTTGTTGTTGGTGTCACGAGTCTCTTGGGAAACGATACTGGGTCTTACCATTTTATATTAGTTGATACGATTTGGTACACTTGCTAATGAGTTAACAGACAACTAAGAAAAGTTATTGATGTTGATAGTTGTAACAGAAATTTTAATGTTAAATTAATGAATGAAAAATGTTTAAGCAAGAAGATAGAGAAAACAATTATAGAAAACTCACTTATGAAGGTTATGGACATTTTGGATAAAGTTAGTAGGAAATGGAATATTAGTATGTATAGAAATATGGCGTATATAACAAAAGTTATTGTAGCAAATAATGTGGATGGGTCATATAATGAACAATTAAGAAGAATATATGATTATGCTCATGAACTTCTAAGAACAAATCCAGGTTCAATAGTGAAGGTCAAAGTTGAGAACATTCACAACATTTTTAGGATATTCTATGCATGTTTGAAGGCATGCTCTTGTAGACCCATCATTGGGTTGGATGGAGGCTTTCTAAAAGGAAAATATGGAAGGGAGATATAAATGAACATATTTTACCTATAGCATATATTTTTGTAGAGACTGAGAACAAAGACTCCTGGACATTGTTCTTGTAGCCTCTGTTGGCAACCTTAGTAGGGAAGTTGTGTGTGCATCATGCACTTTTATTTCAGACCAACTAAAGGTCACTTTTACCTATTTTTCTTCACATATTTTAACATTTACTTCAGCTGACGTGACTCCTTTTATTTTATATATTTTAGGGTCTTTTGTCAGCTATACAAGAAATTTTACCTTGGGTTGACCAAAGATTTTGTGTTAGGAACTTATATTCAAATTTTTAGAAGAAATTTCCAAGAAAAAAAAAATCTAAAACAACTCATGTGGAAGGCAATAACAACCATATGTGCACAACAATTGGGAGGCTGAGATGAGGAATATAAAAGAGGTGAATTTGGATGCGTTTAAATAAGGTTTTGGTTAAGATTGTTATAAATGTTTGATATAAATTTCTCACTCCACCTTCTAAGATTGTTATATAAATTGACTATTATAAATAAGGTTTTGGTTAAGATCTAGGTTCACCATAATTTCATAGTGTGACACACTTGTGAACAATACCTGTGATGGCTTCAATAATGTACTAGTTCATATTAGTTCTAAGCCCATAAATAACATGTTGGAGGACATTAGGGTTTACATGATGAGCAAATGGGCTACGAATAGGATAAAATTGAGATCATATGAAGGCTCTATCTGCCCTAAAGTACTGAACATACTTCAAAAGAAATCATGGTTAACGAGGTATTTGATAGCAAAGTAAGTTTTAAGTATATGAATATGGTTCCCAATGCAGAAATTAACATTCTCTTACATCATGATTATATTAAGGTTTAATCATTTTGGACATCCTTATTTGTGTAGAATCGTCTCAAATAGGTTCTCGTATTGTAAATGTTCTTAATTAGGTCCCTTTTTTGTGATAAATACTCAATTTGGACCTTGCCGTTAATTGGGCTAGACGACGTTAAAAATTGTGTCTCGTGGCTTGGTGACTGAGCAATTTTTATTGACGTGGTAGAGTTTGGTCGCCTTAGGTGGATTTTTTTTATTTACGATTTTAAATAAAACATAGACTTGCTAACTCTGGCAACACCTGATAATGGTTAAATTTACCGTTATTTGATACTTAATTTTGATACTAAAAACACCCTTTTTGACTTAGGAACTAGCTTGGAATCATAGTTTTGATGAATAAGAGAGTTGAAGGTGACTTTAATGGTTTTGTGCTAGATTTTCTTGTTTTTAATAGGAATTGAGATTATTTAGAAGAAGAGTTGAAGTAGTAAGGAGTTGGAACTCAGAAAGAGATGGAAAAACATCAAAAAGGAGGATCGTAGCACCGTTGAGCGCCACTTTAGGGGCTCTCAGCGCCAGAGTACACTGTCTCACGCTTGGCTGCCCTTTTTTTGGAGCCCTCAGTGCAGGATACCCTTGGCTCGCGGCTAGGCGCCATTTTCAAGGGCCCTGAGCGCCACTTCCTCAAGTCGCACCACACTTGCTTGCCTTCTGAGTTGACCCTAAGTGGGACCCACACACCGCCTGGGCGCCCTAAGTGGGGCGCTGAGCGCTAGTCTCGTGGGTTGGGACCCGTTTTCTGTTATTTTTTATATTCTATTTAAGGACTTGGACGTCCTAGGGTTCACATCTTTGGACGGAATAGGCACAGAAACATACTCTTTGATCCCTCGGAGGCGGATTTGGATGCGGAAGCTCCTATCTTCAATTTCTAGGGTTTTATCTTTCATTCTTTCTCCATTATTCATCTAGTTTCACCATGTCAATGGTGAACTAAACTCTATTTGTTGTTGGGGAATGATGTAACCTTTATAAACTCTCATGTATTGAAGTGATTCTTGATTATATATGCTTCTTTCATTAATTGTTAGGGTAATTCTTCTTTGCGTATTGTTTGCTTTGTTTAACTCATTCATTAGCATGATTTATGATTTGCATGAGTACCGGAAGGTATCTTACAATTCATGTTCTGGAGAATTATTCCCAGATGCAGTATTGCTCAGGAATGAGGGTATGAGTTCTGGTTGTTTTAAGCTTCTAGTCTTTACAATTAATTATTAGGAATTCTAGGAATCATATGAACTAATAATTAAGCATAAGCTTTCTTCGCCGAGAAATCAGGTTTTAATTATTTTAGATAGTGACATTGACATTAATGAAGAAGTAGAATTCGTATATACATGAGAGTAAACTAGGTGGAATCTAACCCCAACAACATATTCATTCCATAATATCAAATCTGTTCATCTTTGCACTTTTTTCCAATTGATCAAATTGCATGCATATTTACTTTTCAGTATTTGCATTCTAAATTCAAAAGAGTTTGTTTTCAAGTCTTATTTAATCAAGGAATCACATAACTGTTTAGGCCGTGAGTCTCTAGGGAAACGATACTTGGTCTTACCATGTTTATTACTTGATACTATTCGGTACACTTGGCGGAGTTTTAACAAGTTTTTGGCGCCGTTGCCGGGGACTCGTGGTTTAACTATTCTATTTGTGTGATTATTGATTAGCTTTGACTTGATTTTTTATTTTAATTTTGTTTTATTTTGTGCTAACAATGTTTTCTAGGGTTTTGTGTTCAGCGCATGCAGGATGCACTTTGGTCAAGAAGTTAACTATCTGGGCACTCAATTCCACCAAGGTAATTTCAACCATGGGTGGTTACCTCATCCAAGCATGGGACAAAGTCAATTTGGGCAACTTGCCAAACAATTCAATAGACCACCATAGCAGCAACAATGACAACAACAATCCTCTCTTTCAGAAAGAATTGCAAAACTAGATGACACACTTCAACAGTTGATGCATATATCTGTATCTCATCACAAAAACATTGAAGCGACACTCAGAAGGATGGGGATGCAGATTGGTCATCTAGTTCAGAAGGTGGAAGATTTTGGGGGTAATATGAAAATTAACCCTAGAGAGGAATGCAAAGTCGTTGTTACTAGAAGTGACAAAATTTTAGATGAGAGAAAAATAGAGAGAAAAGAAAAAGAAAGGTTAAGTGAAAAAGAGAAAGATGTAGAGGAAGAAAAAGAAAAAGAAGAGAGTGAGAGGAAAGAAAAGGAAAGAGAGAGGGAAGAAAAGAAAAAGAGAGGAAGAGAATGTGAGAAAAAAGAAAGAGTTATATGAAAAACCTCTTCCTTACCCGAAGAATTATTCAAGGAAGGAGAAGGAAAAACAATTTGAGCATTTTATGAAGATTTTCAAGAAATTGGAGATTAACATACCCTTCTCTGAAGCTTTGCAACAAATGCCTTCTTATGCTAAATTTCTGAAGGAACTCCTCACTAAGAAAAGGAAATACATTGAAGAGGAAACCATTGAAGTACAAGGAAACTGCAGCGCTATCATACAAAAACTTTTACCTCCCAAGTTAAAAGATCTAGGAAGCTTCACCATTCGTTGCACTATAGGGAATATCTCTGTTGGAAGGGCACTCATTGATTTGGGAGCTAGTATCAATCTGATGTTGCTCTCTATGTTTAAGAAGATTGAAGGTTTGGAACTCAAGCCTACTCGGTTGACTCTTCAACTAGCAGATAGATCTCTGAAATATCCTTATGGGGTAGCTGAAGATGTGCTTGTGAAGGTAGACAAGTTTCTATTTCCTATGGACTTTGTTATCATGGAGATGGAGGAGGATGTGAATGTGCCTCTCATTCTTGGGAGACCGTTTATGAAGACTGCAAGAGTCTAATTGATGTGGAGAATGACAAGCTTAAAGTAAAAGTCCAAGATGAAGAAGTAAATTTTGATGTGGCGAATTTGGAGAAGATTGATACCAAGGAAGAGGTTAAGGAAAAGAAACTGGAGCTAAAAATATTACCACCACATTTAAAGTATGTTTTCTTAGAAGAAGGTGGAAAGAAACCGGTCATCATTAGTAATTCTTTATCTCTCAGAAGAAAAAAAGTTGGTAGAAGTATTGAAATCCAACAAAGGAGCTATTGGGTGGTTAATTTCAGATCTCAAAGGTATAAGCCCAACTTATTGCATGCACAAAATATTTATGGAGGATGATTATAGACCAGTTGCTCAACCATAGAGAAGACTAAACCCTGTGATGAAGGAGGAGGTGAGAAAAAAAGTTTTGAAGCTTCTAGAGGCTGACATCATATATCCTATCTCTGATAGTGCATGGGTAAGTCCAGTACAGGTAGTGCCAAAGAAAGGTGGGATGACAGTAATTTATAATGAGAAAAATGAGTTCATTCCTACTAGAACAGTTACTAGGTGGAGGATCTGCATTGATTATAGGAAGTTGAATAAGGCCACAAGGAAGGATCATTTTCCTATTCCTTTTATGGATAAGATGTTGGAAAGATTGACAGGTCAGGCTTTTTATTGTTTTTTGGATGGATATTATGGGTACAATCAGATTGTGGTAGATCCAAAGGACCAGGAGAAGACGACTTTTACATGTCCATTTGAAATATTTGCTTACAGAAAAATGTCATTTGGATTATGTAATGTTTCGGTTACGTTTCAGAGGTGTATGCAGGCTATCTTTGCAGATCTCATAGAAGAATGCATTGAAGTATTTATGGATGATTTTTTAGTGTTTGACGATTCTTTTCATTTGTGCTTGGCTAACCTGGATATTGTGCTTAAGAGATGCATCCAAACGAATCTTGTACTTAATTGAGAAAAATGTCATTTTATGGTGACTGAAGGAATTGTTTTGGGTCATAAGATTTCTTCTAGGGGAATTGAAGTTGATAAAGCCAAAGTGGAGGTCATTGAGAAACTTCCACCACCAACGAATGTGAAAGGAATTAGAAGATTTTTGGGCCATGCTGGGTTTTATCGAAGATTTATTAAAGATTTTTCAAAGATTGCCAAACCCTTAAGCAATCTCCTTGTCAAAGATATGCCTTTTGTAATGGATGATGAGTGCATGAAAGCTTTTGAGATTCTGAAGAAGAAGCTTGTCTCTGCGCCAGTTATTGTAGCTCCATATTGGAATCAAGACTTCGAGTTAATGTGTGATGCTAGTTATTGTNGATTATTGATTAGCTTTGACTTGATTTTTTATTTTAATTTTGTTTTATTTTGTGCTAACAATGTTTTCTAGGGTTTTGTGTTCAGCGCATGCAGGATGCACTTTGGTCAAGAAGTTAACTATCTGGGCACTCAATTCCACCAAGGTAATTTCAACCATGGGTGGTTACCTCATCCAAGCATGGGACAAAGTCAATTTGGGCAACTTGCCAAACAATTCAATAGACCACCATAGCAGCAACAATGACAACAACAATCCTCTCTTTCAGAAAGAATTGCAAAACTAGATGACACACTTCAACAGTTGATGCATATATCTGTATCTCATCACAAAAACATTGAAGCGACACTAAGAAGGATGGGGATGCAGATTGGTCATCTAGTTCAGAAGGTGGAAGATTTTGGGGGTAATATGAAAATTAACCCTAGAGAGGAATGCAAAGTCGTTGTTACTAGAAGTGACAAAATTTTAGATGAGAGAAAAATAGAGAGAAAAGAAAAAGAAAGGTTAAGTGAAAAAGAGAAAGATGTAGAGGAAGAAAAAGAAAAAGAAGAGAGTGAGAGGAAAGAAAAGGAAAGAGAGAGGGAAGAAAAGAAAAAGAGAGGAAGAGAATGTGAGAAAAAAGAAAGAGTTATATGAAAAACCTCTTCCTTACCCGAAGAATTATTCAAGGAAGGAGAAGGAAAAACAATTTGAGCATTTTATGAAGATTTTCAAGAAATTGGAGATTAACATACCCTTCTCTGAAGCTTTGCAACAAATGCCTTCTTATGCTAAATTTCTGAAGGAACTCCTCACTAAGAAAAGGAAATACATTGAAGAGGAAACCATTGAAGTACAAGGAAACTGCAGCGCTATCATACAAAAACTTTTACCTCCCAAGTTAAAAGATCTAGGAAGCTTCACCATTCGTTGCACTATAGGGAATATCTCTGTTGGAAGGGCACTCATTGATTTGGGAGCTAGTATCAATCTGATGTTGCTCTCTATGTTTAAGAAGATTGAAGGTTTGGAACTCAAGCCTACTCGGTTGACTCTTCAACTAGCAGATAGATCTCTGAAATATCCTTATGGGGTAGCTGAAGATGTGCTTGTGAAGGTAGACAAGTTTCTATTTCCTATGGACTTTGTTATCATGGAGATGGAGGAGGATGTGAATGTGCCTCTCATTCTTGGGAGACCGTTTATGAAGACTGCAAGAGTCTAATTGATGTGGAGAATGACAAGCTTAAAGTAAAAGTCCAAGATGAAGAAGTAAATTTTGATGTGGCGAATTTGGAGAAGATTGATACCAAGGAAGAGGTTAAGGAAAAGAAACTGGAGCTAAAAATATTACCACCACATTTAAAGTATGTTTTCTTAGAAGAAGGTGGAAAGAAACCGGTCATCATTAGTAATTCTTTATCTCTCAGAAGAAAAAAAGTTGGTAGAAGTATTGAAATCCAACAAAGGAGCTATTGGGTGGTTAATTTCAGATCTCAAAGGTATAAGCCCAACTTATTGCATGCACAAAATATTTATGGAGGATGATTATAGACCAGTTGCTCAACCATAGAGAAGACTAAACCCTGTGATGAAGGAGGAGGTGAGAAAAAAAGTTTTGAAGCTTCTAGAGGCTGACATCATATATCCTATCTCTGATAGTGCATGGGTAAGTCCAGTACAGGTAGTGCCAAAGAAAGGTGGGATGACAGTAATTTATAATGAGAAAAATGAGTTCATTCCTACTAGAACAGTTACTAGGTGGAGGATCTGCATTGATTATAGGAAGTTGAATAAGGCCACAAGGAAGGATCATTTTCCTATTCCTTTTATGGATAAGATGTTGGAAAGATTGACAGGTCAGGCTTTTTATTGTTTTTTGGATGGATATTATGGGTACAATCAGATTGTGGTAGATCCAAAGGACCAGGAGAAGACGACTTTTACATGTCCATTTGAAATATTTGCTTACAGAAAAATGTCATTTGGATTATGTAATGTTTCGGTTACGTTTCAGAGGTGTATGCAGGCTATCTTTGCAGATCTCATAGAAGAATGCATTGAAGTATTTATGGATGATTTTTTAGTGTTTGACGATTCTTTTCATTTGTGCTTGGCTAACCTGGATATTGTGCTTAAGAGATGCATCCAAACGAATCTTGTACTTAATTGAGAAAAATGTCATTTTATGGTGACTGAAGGAATTGTTTTGGGTCATAAGATTTCTTCTAGGGGAATTGAAGTTGATAAAGCCAAAGTGGAGGTCATTGAGAAACTTCCACCACCAACGAATGTGAAAGGAATTAGAAGATTTTTGGGCCATGCTGGGTTTTATCGAAGATTTATTAAAGATTTTTCAAAGATTGCCAAACCCTTAAGCAATCTCCTTGTCAAAGATATGCCTTTTGTAATGGATGATGAGTGCATGAAAGCTTTTGAGATTCTGAAGAAGAAGCTTGTCTCTGCGCCAGTTATTGTAGCTCCATATTGGAATCAAGACTTCGAGTTAATGTGTGATGCTAGTTATTGTAGCTCGCCTCATATTAGCTTTGAAACTACGTGCTTCGAACCTTTCCTGGGATTGTTGTGCCTGCTTGTACTCATCGAATTGGAGAACTTTTTGGTACACCCCTTCCTCTCTTCTTTTCGAAAAGTCAGAATCTGCTCAAGGAGTAATCTTAGATCGATCGGGTCGTGCCCCCCTTCCATCACCCTCGACTCGGGGGAGGAATCATTCCATTCAGCAGTCCTACGTGGGTCAGTGAATGTATTTTATGAAAGGATTAGACGGTGACAAATAGTGTTGTGAACAATCCCTATCATCAAATCTCTGAGCTTAGGAAGTGAGGTTAAGACGTCGACTTATACAGGGTCTTGCCCGAGGAGATGAAAAAGAATTCCTGTCTTTAGAAGTCAATCCCACTAAACTACACTTGTACGCTTGACATGAAAAGTATAGGCAAGCAGAGTCAAAGGCCTAACCTCAACAGGATAGAGGCTGCTCCTGGAAGCGAAAGAAGAAGTCCAATATTGAACGGCAGGACTAGAAGCAGACTGGACAATCTCGCCTCACATGTTAATCTTCCGGTTCGCTAATCTACTGCATTGGAGAGTGTATCACCTTACTATGATCTACTTGGTCAACGAAGGGAGAAGGTTTTTCACACTATCTATTATGCCAGCAAAGTCTTGAAGAAGCTTAGTTTAATTATGTCACTACAGAAAAGGAATTTCTTGCTATAGTATATGCCTTGGAGGTTGAAGTCTTTAATTGCCGGGGGATAGATTTTGTTGGACCTTTTCCACCGTCTTTCAATAATGAATATATATTGGTGGTGGTAGATTATGTAATTAAATGGGTAGAAGCCATGGCGTGTCCCAAGAATGATGCTAGCATTGTAATTAAATTTTTAAAAGACAAATTTTTGTCAGGTTTGGAACTCCCAGGATACTCATTAGTGATGGAGGATCTCATTTTTGCAACTCTCAGCTTGCAAAGGTACTCAAGCACTATGGCGTGAAACATAAGGTGGATGCACCTTATCATCCACAGACAAATGGACAAGCAGAGGTATCTAACAGGGAAATAAAGAGGATTATGGAGAAAACAGTTGTTTCATCAAGGAAGGATTGGTCTCAAAAGCTAGATGATGCTCTTTGGGTATACAGGACGACAATTAAGACAACTATAGGGCTATCTCCTTTTCAGTTAG